AGGTGGCACTCAAGGGATGATGACCTCTATGACATCATTAGCCTACAGTGGCTACAGTCCACAGAGAGAATGCGTGTTTCTAGTGACCCCTCAAGAGCAAACATTAGCCAAGAGGTACTCACATTCGAAGCAGAATTCAGAGTTACCTGTAATAATTCAATTGCCATACTCCTACCAGGCTGTTTCACACTAGGTTTAATCTGGATCTTAATTTTTCCATAGAATATCATGCTGGGGGAAAGAAGGGAATACCATTCAACAAGTGTGTGTATGCTCACAAGTACACATAAATACAGTATGTCCAGTTTTACTTTGATCTGTGATGGTCATGTCCCAGAATTCCTTCCTCTCTCAGACATTGATTTCTGATAAGCAGGGGTCCAGTGGTTCATACCTGTAACCCTAGCTAATCAGGAGGCTAAAACATGGAAGACCATGGTTCAAAGCCAGTCCCTAGACCAAAAAACCTATTCTATCTCTAAAGCCAAAAGCTGCCTGGAGCTATGGCTCCAGTGGTAGAGCAATGGCTGATCAAGCAAGCAGACCAAGAAAGCTGAACAAGCATAAGGTTCTGAGTTCAAAACCTGGTAAGACAGTGGGGGGGGGGTGAGAAGAAGGGGAAGGAAGGAAGGAAGGGAGGGAGGGAAGGGAGGAAAGAAAGAAAGCAGAAAGGTAGCCAAGTAGGCTCATGAACTCTATTCAGACTGAACCTGCTCCCTTTCTACTTGTCAAATATGCTCTCTTTAATCTGGTTTTTCCTGCTGTCCACCATCTTGAGACAACCTATTTCTTGATATTATGTTAAAAGCCTTCAGCTGCAGGCAAGGCCTTCAGCTGCTTAATTCCTAGAAGTCAGGATGTGCTTACTAACGTATGAAACCTGGTACCTCAGTGAAATGGCACATAACCCAGAAAACCCTGGAATGTTTGACATAGTCACATTCTTTTCTCTCCCTCGTGTCCACTAGATGGTAATAAATATCTCTTCCTTTTTGCAGAACTCTGTCCATCTTGATAATACCAGCAGCAGACGTCTCTTAAATCTTTGGAGAATCCCTTTGGTTTCAATTCATTCATCATATCTTATCCAGATGGTTCATCCCTTCCTTCTTTCTTTCCTTCCTTCCTTCCTTCCTTCCTTCCCTCCCTCCCTCTTGCCTGCTTGCATACCTGCTGTTTTTTGTACAATACTGGGGGCTTGCACTCAGGGCCCTCTGCCCTTGCTTGGCTTTCCTGCTCACAACTGGCACTCTACCCTAAGTCAGACCTATAGCTGGCCTTTTGGAGATTGAGTCTGGCAGACTTTCCAGCCTAGGCTGTCTTCAAACTTAGATCCTTTGGATCTCAGCCTCCTGGTTATAGAATGTGAGCCACCAGGGCATGGCTAAATCATCTCAGATTTTAAATTTCCACTTTTGAAAGAGGCACTCAGACATTCGCTCCCGTCCTTCTGATTCACCACCAAGAAAGTTTTTACTAGTCTCATCTAGATGCTAAGTGTCTGAAAGGGAAAATTAAGTAGATAATTAAGCATAGCCCAGATTTAGAAGGAGGGGAGGTTGGGGCTGAGTTTGACTCTCAAGAGACTGCTACTCACTTTGCTTTGGAGGAAAGGAGGGAGAGTGATGCAGAAACAGTGGTGGGCAGGACAAACATGGACTCAGTAGCAGAGCTGTGGAAAATGGAGGAGGGCTGTTTACAGATCTCTTCTGCATCTGATTGTTGCTACCTTTTCACAAATCCTGGCAGGCAGGATGGTAAAGCAGCTAAGTCAGGGCAATCATAGGAAGTGGCAGGTATGAACATGGTCTTCCAGGCCTTTTGCTCAACCTTATTGCATTCCTGGCTCATCAAACCAGGGAGCAAGCAAGAGCCAGGAAGGGGGCCTTAGAGTGGCAGGAGGAACTGAAGAGCTCAGATAGAGATGACAGAGAGCAGGCATGTTCAGTTCACAAAGGGGAGAGTGCTTTAAGGATTAATATTCTTTTTCTGTGTGTGTGAGAATACCGTACAGAGGAGTTACAATTACATGGGCAAGATAACGAGTACATTTCTTATCAAGCATTGTTAATATTCTATGCAAAGCATTCTTTCTTTCTGCTCTTCCTTCTCACTTCCAAGTGGCATAGTGTTGCTTTGTTTTTGTTTGTTTGGTTGTTTTGTCAACTGACTGTAGCTAACTTTATGAAGCTGGGGGCCACAGTACCAACCTCTGAGTTTTTTGTGTGTGTCAGTATTAGGGTTTGAACTCAGGGCTTGCGTGCTATCCCTTAGTTTCTTTGGTCCAGACAGATGCTCTACCATTTGAGCTACACCTCTACTTCCAGGTTTTGGTGGTTAATTGGAGCTAAGGGTCTCCCCCCACTTCCTGCCCTGACTGGCTTCAGGAACATGATCCTCAGATCTCAGCTTCTTGAGTAGTTGGGATTACATAAGGAAGTGAGTCATCAGTACTTGGCTACCCCCTGAGACTGCAGCTTGTAGGAGTTTTCCTGAGGGGAAGAGTCACTTATTTGACTTATTAGTATGGGTTATGGAGCAACACAACCCAGTTCTGGTAACAGTTCCACTACTTACTAGCTTTTACACTTTGAACATGTCTAAGTTTCATAAAAAAGTATATATGAGCCTGGTGCTGGTGGCTCACACCTGTAATCCTAGCTACTCAGGAGCCTGAGATCTGAGGAACACGGTTCAAAGCCAGCCTAGGCAGGAAAGTCTGTGAGACTCTTATTTCCAATAAACCACTAAGAAAACCAGAAGTGGCTCAGTGGCTCCAGTGGTAGAATGCTAGTGTTGAGCTGAAGAGCTGAGGGACAGCACCCAGGCCCAGAGTTCAAGCCCCATGACCGACCCTCCCCACACACATACACCAAAAAAAGTGTATGTGAGCCAGACACAGTGGTTTACATGTGGAAATCTTAGCTACTTGAAAGGTGGAGATTAGAAGGATGGAAATTTGAGGCCATCTTGGACACAATATTAGAGAGAACTCCATCTCAACAAAAAAGCTAGATGTGTACACATTGTAAATATCTCAACCACGTGGCTCACACCTATAAAACTAGCTAATCTGGAGGTTGAAATCAGAGGATCATGGTTCAAAGCCAGCCTGAGCAGGAGTCTATGAGATGCTTATTGCCAATGAACTACCAAAAAGCCAGAAGTGGAGTTGTGACTCCTAGCAGTAAAAGACTAGCCTTGAGCAAAAGAAGCTCAGGGACAGCACCCAAACCCTGAGTTCAAACTCCAGGACAATACACACACACACACACACACACACACACACACACACCTTAGCTATGTAAGTAGGATCTTGGACCCAGGACAGTCTAGGCAAAAAAGAAGAAGAAAAGAAAAAAAGAGACTCTGAAAAACAATAAAACAAAAGGCTGGAGGTGTGGCTCAAATGGTAGAGTGCCTACCTAGCAAGGTGTAGTTCAACTCGTACATTGAAATGCAAGCATATCCTTTTATATTACTGATTTGAAAGGCCTTTGAATGTTCACAGCTGAAAACATTTTCTTGTTGTTTGCGCCAATACTTGGGCTTGAACTCATGATCTGTGCTCTGTTAGTTTTTATTTTTTTGAGGGGCGGTTGTGGTCATTGGGCTTAAACTGTGGGCCTGGGTGCTCTCCCTGAGCTCTTTAGCTCAAGGCTAGCGCTCTACCACTTGAGCCACAGCACCACTCCCGGCTTTTTCTGCTTATTTGGTGCTGAGGAATGGAACCCAGGGCCTCATGCATGCAAGGCAAGCACTCTACCACAGAGCCACCTTCCCAGCCCTGTTTGTAGACCTTTTTTTTTTTTGCTTTTTTGCTCAAGACTGGTGCTCTACCATAGCTCCACTTCCAGCTTTGAGGTTGCTAGTTGGAAATAGGTCATATTTGTGACCGACAAGAAGGCAAACACTACTAGGCTTAGAGTTGGAAAAATAATTTCAGCCATTATCTTATGAAGACCTGGTCATGAGGCCAAATATTTCAATTTGGATCTAGTTTAACCCTTCTAGGAATCTGGTCAGTGGGGGTGGGGACACTGTCTGGAGGCTGAATCAAGGCAGTAAATCCTCCTAGGGTCCCCCCACCCACACCTCTTTCAGCCTGTGTCCCTGGGGCTACAGGTGGGGTGGGGGAGATAAGTATTATCAACCCTTGACTTCTGAGGACATCTGAGCCACGCCTAGTAAGACCTCTGGCGGGCAAAGCAGAGCCAGTGGTGGGCCAGAAGTGATTTGGATATTGAAATACTGCCTTAAGTGTGAAGCTATCCCCACACCCCCACTGTTAGCACACGCACACGCGCGCGCGCACACACACGGAGGGGATAAAATAGAGCGCGGGTGGGTGGGCGCGTTCTGATTTCTGGCTTAAGATGCTGCAGCCCTGGAGGCCGGGGGTCTCCCAGGCTCGGGAGCCACCCAGCCCTGGAGCTGATGGGAATCCGGGCCTCAGGGACCGAGTGAGCTGCTGCTTCCTTTTCCCGAGTCCCGTCGGGGACCTTCGGGGCTCGGTCCCGGGGCTCCTCCGTCGAGTGCACCGCGCAGACTCTGCACCCCCCCTCATGCCGTGGCGGGCCGGGCGCTGGGGTGGTTTTGCGGGTTTTCTCTCTTATTCCCCTTCTTCACCATCGACTTTTCTCCAGAAAAGGGAGCTTTAGAAAGTTTTTAAAGAACTATTTCATTTCCAGTTCCCATCACCGCGATTTCCACATGGATGTGACGTGGAGGCCCGGCTTCCGACAAGCCCGGGGTGACTCACGCGGGGACACCCCGGGGCGGGGCTCAGGAGTTTTCTCCGGGCGGGGCGGCGGTCAGCGCCCCCTGGCGGCAGGCCCGGCGCCGCGCGCGCGCCGGCTCGGGCTCCGGCTCCGGCTCGGGTGCCTGGCGGCGTCACGTGACTGGAAAGTCCCTACCGGGTTGGAAATCCCCGTTGGAGGCCACGGATACAACTGAAAGGCAGAAAGGGAACTGGCCAGTCTGCAGCCTGGCGGCGGGAGGGCGAGAGGGAGAGGGAGAGGGCGAGAGAGCAGCGGGGAAGCGCCGTGAGCTCCGAGCGGGGGGGGCGGAGCGGAGACGCAGGCCGCCCGGAGACGTCCACACCCCCGGCCCAGCCATTCAGCCCGGACCCGGGGCGTCCATGGGGCACCGCCGCGGCCCGACCCGGATCGCGACCCCCGCCCGCCGTGCGCTTCGGTCCTGATCGGGAGTTGGGACTTGGCGAGAGCAAGGGCACGGCCCGAGAGGTGAGCGCCGTGCGCGGGGTGCGCGGGTGCACGGGCCCAGGGCGCGGGGTGCACGGGCCCCGGGCGCCTCCTCGTCCGCCGAGGTTTGGGCTGTCCCGGAGCAGAGTCCCGTGGTGAAGCGCTAGAGGTGCGCTCGCCGCCCCAGATGCTAGCCTGACAGCCGGGTTCTCCCAGCCATCCAGTGTTGCAGAAGATGAACTTAGGATGCAAGTGGCGGGGCAAGGGTCGCCCCCTCGGACCCCCAGGGTCGGGCGGTGGTTGGTTATTCTGTGCTTGCTCCTTTCTCGGATTCTGGAATAAGAATGGTTGCATGCTCTTGGCCACCTTGGCAGACCTTGCAAAAGCGCCGAAGTATTTTTTTTGGGGGGGTGTTTTTGTTTTTGTTTGCAGCCCGAGGGGCGCGGGTGCGCCAGCTAAACTTCCAAGGTCAGCTGCTGGCACGGGCTCCACGTCGAGCAGGGAGGTGGGGAACGGGGCGATCCCAGATTCTGCAACGTCTGTGAAGTTTGCATGTGGAAATGAGTCTCTGGCAGCCTGCTGCTGGGCTCCACGGGGGAGCCCTGGGTAGTTCTCCCATTTGCACCTCCCCAGACCCCACACTCAGATGCTCTGTCAGCCGGGATCGTCCCATATCCTGCCGCCCGCTCTCTCAGGAAAGCAGTGGTATTAAGTAAGGAAGAAGGCTCAGCTCATTTTAGCCCGCTTTTGTTTTTCTGGGCCTCTGATGTTTCCTTGGAAAGCCAGTCTGGTCAAGTGTCTCAACGCAGCATTTTGGGGGAGGATCTTTGCAAACTGGGGCGGGGGGGCGGGGAGGAGAAAGCCCCCAAATGAATTACTGAACAGACCGTTCCTGGCCCATTCTCAGCATCTGACATGCTTTATGGATCTTTCTTTCTTTTTCTTTCTTTCTTTCTTTCTTTCTTTCTTTCTTTCTTTCTTTCTTTCTTTCTTTCTTTCTTTCATTCTTTCCTTCTTTTCTCTCTCTCTCTCTCTCTCTCCCTTTCTTCCTTCCTTTCTCTCTCTCTCTTTTTTTCTTTCTTCGGCAATTCTTTGCACAACTTTTGGAGGGATACTTCCAAGCAATTGGCTGAGGTATTTGTGGAATATATATACACACATATATATGTATATATATTTCCACATCACAGACAAACATGTCTGCAAGGGTGAGGGGAGATTCTGAGTAACTTCTGCAGAATCTTATTGAACCTACTAACAGAAATCGGGGAAATTAAAAGGCAGAGAGGGAACAACTGTAAAAAGAATTGAAAAACTACAACACATGTTTTTTGTTTTGTTTTTGTTTTCTACTCATAATCATATGTCCCCAAAATTATTCTTTAGTTTTAAATGCTTCAAAGTCTCAGAATTGGAAACTTGGGCAATGGGTTTGGGGAGTATTAAGGAGACAACTTTGCAGGCTGTACAAGGCTAAGTCCATGAATGAGATTTCGCAGGCTTCTGAATACCAGTATTTGCATGTGTAGCATATAGTTAATAGCTCTCCCCATTTGCTGCCAGGTCTTTAGATCCCCAAGGAAAATGTGAAAGAGCCAGGAAACAGAAAGAAGCAACGTTAGTTTGTTCTAATCTTCCTCCTGCCTGTATGGTCCATCTGAGATCTGCAACCGCTGTACCTACAGGTATGGTGTTTTGGATTAGCAAGGGACAGGTGTAAAGAAGACCTAGCCTTTAGACAGAGCTCTGCTCCTGCAGGGCCGTGGACTTGTGAAGGCTCTCTACCTCCATTTCCTTAGCAGCAGACCAAAAATGGTTGTGTGGTTTTAATGGGCATTAAGTCATCTTTGATTTTAGCACCAGGCTTGGCCTTCAGTAGGTGGTCTGGTAATGCTTGTTGAGTGGATTTGTGGATGGATGAATGGATGAATAATACATAGTATTATGAAAGAGACTTTTTGCTGCATCACAAAAGTGTGTGTGTGTGTGTGTGTGTGTGTACATGGCTCATTGTAATGTCTATTATCTTGCTATGGTTTTGCCCAGGAACATTTGACATTGGTGAGACCCAAAAATGACATTTCCTTGACTCATCCATCAGTCACATTAAGAATCTCATTTCAAATGCTCACAAGCACCTTCAAGGTCAATAGTTCCTTGCACTCACCTTATTGGTGCTACAGGAATTTAGACCACCTTATCAGTGACTTGAGAGCCTTGGACCCACTTGGGAGTGATTTCCTTAATGTCTAAGTCCTTCTTTTCCTGCTTGCATAGGTCTAACTTCTTTTTTATCTAGTGAGTTCCCATGACAGATCATGACATGCAGGAGCAGGATTTAACCATTGCTGTGAAGTTCCTAGGGAATAGCTTTGTGTCTCTGAAAGCTTTCTCTTCTGGAAATCAGGGCATGTGGTGAGGCCTCCAACAGAGGGTTATACACCAGTTCCCATCATCCTGTGCTTGCATGGGCCACAGCTGCTGGTCCTTGTCCCCACTCTTCTTTCATTTGTCCTGAGTGGCCTTGTAGCTGAAGCTTTTATGCTGTCTGCTTCCAGAATTTCATTTTCTCCACCTGTTGATTATATGTGAGGATTAATTCCAGGATGAAAGACAAGGGGCAGAACACCAGTGAGAGGATTTGATTGACAGTTGGATTGAAATCATTGCATCCTAATGTACAATTTATTTTTCTTGGAGGTGTACAATTTATTATTCTGTCATTTCTCAGCTTGTTGTAAAGCTCAGGGGTAAGGAAAGAAAGCTGACTGTTGGGTCTTGTGATTGCAAAGCATCTTGCTGGAAATAGGCTTTCTCTATTGGTGATAAAGCCATTTGGTTTTAATTCTTTATAAATAGTGTAAAAATACTTCATACTTTTCTCTGGGGCTCAAGGGAAAGCACCTGGCAGCAAGCGACAGCAGCCTAAATGACACATCAACTTGTAGGATTCTCTATAAAATATATCCCGAGGGCTGGAATGTTGGAAAGAGGGCAATCAAGGCCTTGCCTGAAAGCAGGCAGAGACCCATAGTAGTCTGATGGTGGTCTTGGGGGAGGAGCTAGACACATGGGGCTCCTATGGGTACATCTCTCAGGATGTGCACACAATGACCCCAAAACTCAGTGCTATCCCACAGCAACCTCAGAATGGAGGGGGGAACTTAGATCACTTGGTGCGCAGGTTTGGGGGAGCAATACCTATCTCTGACAGACAGGCTTGGCGCCCTGACAAATGTTACTGTGAACACGGGTTATTCCCCTCCTCCTCAATACCCACTCTCCGCCTTCCTTCTCTTGTTTAGACTAATCTTTAAAGGTGATGTAACTCAGAACAGTCCAGTGTGAGTTAATCTGTGGGGCCTGCTAGTATCCTGGGAGTTGAGGTGACTAAGATCTTTTTGCCTACAGATTAGGGTAATGACAAGACCCAACCCCCGGGGTTTCCTGCAGGCAGGTAGATGGGAGGAGAGTCTCAGGCAGGCTAACGGAACAGAATGGAACTGGTTTTTCCCTCTCCTGTCCAGGCCCTGTGGAGCACCATGGCTGAGCACCTCCTTCCCCAGGCCTTGTATCTCAGCAATATGCGGAAAGCTGTGAAGATAAGAGAGAGAACTCCAGAAGACATTTTCAAACCTACCAATGGGATCATCCATCATTTTAAAACCATGCACCGATACACGTTGGAAATGTTCAGAACCTGCCAGTTCTGTCCCCAGTTTCGGGAAATCATTCACAAAGCTCTGATCGACAGAAGCATCCAGGCTTCCCTAGAAAGCCAGAAGAAGCTCAACTGGTGTCGTGAAGTCAGGAAGCTTGTGGCACTGAAAACCAATGGTAAGTTTGCTGCTGGTGCACTTCTGTTGTCCAAGGTCCTGGCTCCAAGTTGGTTGGGGCTGCACTGGTGAAGTGTTCATACACTGGCCTTAGAAACTGAAGAATATGTGATCATAGCAAGCTTGAATTTTTGTCTTGTGTTTGAGACAGGGTCTTTCTGAGTAGCCCAGGCTTCCTCAGCTCTGGGATTATAGTCATGTACCATCATGCCTGGCATAATGACTATTTTTTATTGAGAATATTTTCTAAGTAAGAGTTTCTAAGTAAGAATGCTAAGGGGCTGGGAAGGTGGCTCGATGGTAGAGTGCTTGCCTTGCATGCTTAAGGCCCTGAGTTCAATTCCTCAGCACCACATAAGCAGAAAAAGCCGCAAGTGGTGTTGTGGTTCAAATGGTAGAGCACTAGCCTTGACCTGAAGAGCTGAGGGACAGTGCCCAGGTCCAGAGTTCAGGCCCCACAACCGACAGAAAAGTAAATAAAAAATAAATAAAAAGAATGCTAAGGGTTTGGGGCAATGGACTTCTAAATGCCTTGTCTCAGGTGATGAATGTTTCTAATTCTTGAAACTGTTTAATCATCAATAAAATGCCCCTCCCTGGGCAAGTATGGAGGTTTTTTTTTTTTTTTAAAAAAAAGGTTTAAATTCAGAAGGGAAGTGTGGTGTGAAAAATGGCGTTCTATTGATTCCCACTGTTGGTAGAAAAGGCTTGTGACATCCTTACACTTCTGGAGTTTGTGGCATTTTATGGGTTAATTAGCAAAGCTGCTTTTGTCTCCTCTGTCTGTAGCCTGGTTCAGTTTCTAAAGAAATCTGGAGATAGCTATTGTCCACATTGCTGCTGACATTCAATCAAGTGATGCACAGATAGTTACGTGAAGTTGTCATCCAGGGTCTTTTATCCCTATAGTATCAGATAGATAGATTTTTGAGCACAGGTCTTAGACCTCTGTTTCCTGAGTTTCTTCCTATCTTTGCCTTTTTGCCTAATATGCTGTCACTACTGACAGCTAATTCCTATTCCAGGTTTGCTAGGATGTGTGTGTGTGTGTGTGTGTGTGTGTGTGTGTGTGTGTGTGTGTGTGTATTGTATGTGTGTGTGTTCTCAGTCATTTCCTTGGAGTGTGAATATGTGCATTGACCAACATGTACATTGACCTTTACACCTGTTTCATGCAGGTGTAAAGGTCTCCTTTTTGGATGTACACTTAAGTAAATAGACTTACAGGATCAGTTAAATGCTGATAGTATAGCTAATAGTCATCTCTGGTTCTTACATCAATGGAGAATTATCCTGATCATAATAAAACATCCAAGAATAGAAAATCTTTGATGATGATAAGAACATTAACTTAATATCTTAATTGGTATGTTAACTTGGGCTGTTTGAATAACTCAAAAGGATCAATGCACGGGGTGGTATTCTTTTGATCCTGGGGACTCTTGTGAATCGCCTCAAACTTTTACCTGTATTTATGAAGCTTAGGCATTTAGAAACATGATGGAAAGAAAAATGGTGATAGCGATTGTCTACATTGTTCTTGGCATTAAATCAAATGATACAAGAGGAAGGTATCATGTCAAGTTGTCATCAAAAGGCTTAGTTATATACCAGACAATTTGTGGTTTCACCTGTGCCATTTTGTGTGGGGATGAGGGAAGAGATGGAGTCAACATTGAGAGAAATAGAAATGGCATAGAGAAGAGAAACGCTTACCATTATCAGAATTAACAGACATTGTGTACTATTTCTTATAGAAAGGAATATACCTTATTTTCTTTAAAAGAATACAAATATGAAACATTCGTTTCACCATGATATGCCATCTTCACTAGAAAAGATTCATATTACAAATAAAACTACAAAAGCAAATTCTCTTGATAACATAATCTAGGAAGTAGAGATCTTTTTCCCCCCTGGCTTCTCTACTTGGGAGACAATTTCTTAAAAATATGAAAAAGGAAGAAAAGAGTTTTCAGGGAGGAGAAAACAAATGGCTTTTCTTGTATGATTTTTACCAGTACCTTTGTTTAAAAAAAAAAATCTTTCCTCTATAGGAAGGTTTCTTCAAAGTCCTTGTTCTGTTTGGGGAGGGGGTGATTCACAGTTGCATTTGAGGATATGAGACTGTGGTGAATGAGGAAGGGAGTAGGAGGCATAAGACTGAAACTTCATGTGAAAATTCCAGCGTCTATTGGCTGTGGAGATTTCACTTGTATAATGAGTAGCCCTATTCCAGCTCACTCTAACCACACCCACTTGGAAAGTCCGGGGTGCAGTTCGCAGTTTAAATGTCTACACACCAGAACAAAACGTACAATAGCTGTTGCTCAATTGCTAGTCAAATATCTTAGCACTGGGGAATTCCAGATGTTACTTAGGGAATTTTATACTGGTGCATCTCAATAAAGAACTGAAAGTCAGCGCAAGAAGAAGAAAAAAGCCTTATCTTTGCTCTAGATTTTGCAAAGGGGAAATTTCAACAGAACACAATCATTGCCACATTTCAGCCTCAACACAGGCTTGAAGGATCTTTTTGTTCATTTGTTCAGTTAGGTTGTTTTTGTTTGTTTTTTTAAGTATATAAATTGAAGGAATATTGACTGGTTTGGTATTTGACGTTTTTGTAAGGTTTGAAGCAGATAAAATTTCAGTTAGCTTTATTGTCTTGCAATAGAATAATGTAAGAATGCAGCATAATTTTTAAAACAATAGAAATGCTTTGTACTTGTCAGAGGGTGATAGTATAGAGTTCACTTGGTTTGTAGTAAACATTCTCCCAAATGTTTATTGCTTAGGGGTTGAAAATGAATGCAATCTTGGAGTGGGCGTGTAGCTCAGTAGTAGAGCTCCTGCCTAGCATGCTTGATCCTCCACACTGCCAAAATTAAACAAACAAAAAAGAATGAGGTCTAGTGAATTGTGATTGTTTAATCTGGAAAAGTATTGAATTGATGGAAGAAAACTAGACCAGACTTTTTCTCAAAAATGCCAGTCTTAAAACTCATTTTTTAAATTTATTTATCTGTTTATTTATTTAATTTAGACAGAGAATTTTTTTGTTTTTTGGGTTTTTTTTTTGGTATGGCACTGGAACTTCAAATCCATTCCTTAAGTTTTTGTTTAGCTTTCATTGCCCAAGGCTGGTATATTTGAGCCATACCTCCATTCCCACTTTGAGATGTGTCAGTCTAGCTGGCTTCAAACCTTGATCCTCAGATCTCATCCCCCTGAGTGGCTAAGATTATAGATGTGAGCCATTAGCACCCAGCCAACACTGATTTATTTTTGGAATTCGGCATCTAGTTGCTTTTCTACTTTGAAAAAGAACTTTACCATAGTTCACAAAACGCATCAGGGGATTGGGGCCAGCAAGCCGCAGGAAATTTGGTGCTGTCAACCCCTCTTTACAAACTGGAAGAGGAAATTCCCAACATTGAAGTGGAATGGTCAAGACACTTACCACTGAGTCATGGCCAGACTGTCCCTGTCTAGTAAAATACCTGCTTCCTGGTTTGTGCATGCTGCCCTGGCTGTTAATACTTTCCTCAGAGCTGGAGAGCAGTGATGCTGCACTATGGTCAGCCAACTAAGGACTGATAGATAGGACTGGGCTGGAAGTGTGGCTCAAGTGATAGAGCACCTGCCTAGCAAGGACAGGGTACTAACTTCAAAACCCAGTACTGTCTATAGAAAACAAAGGACTGCAAAAGTCATAGCTCACTGTTCTCATTCCACAAAGAGAAAAAGTATGCAGGGACCTTAAGGACTTTCCTCCAAGGTCACCTAAACTAGTTGGGAGTCCCTTTGGTTCTGAGAGTACCAATCTCACAAAGAATAATGAATAGATGACCTTTGACTAAGAACTCAAATCTTTCAGCCTCCAATGATAGCAGAGATAGGTTGATTCTGGAAAGTAAAAGAAAAACAATAAAACTTTGCAGGGCAGGGCCTTCTGTGCAGATGACTTGACTTTGCTCCTTTTGGCTTCCGCTGCCCTAAGGTGATGGAAACTGCCTCATGCACGCTGCTTGTCAGTACATGTGGGGAGTTCAGGACACAGACTTGGTCCTGAGGAAGGCGCTGCACAGCACGCTCAAGGAGACGGACACACGCAACTTCAAATTCCGCTGGCAGCTGGAGTCTCTGAAGTCTCAGGAATTTGTGGAAACGGGGCTGTGCTATGACACTCGGGTATGTTTTGTTCCTCAATAGACAGATCCATGGTGGCTGAAGGGCACCCTGCGCCAGTGTGCTTCCCTTCAGGAGCGTGCGACTTACTAGTCCCAAGTGGGGTTAAGCAAAGCACACTCAAGGGAAAACACCAGAGGCCTGTGAGCTGACGAGCGTGGGGCTTAGGACTGATGATCAGTGACTACCCACCTAGGTGTAGGCTCTTCATTTGGGCCAGTATTCCTGTCATGGCCTTTCTTTTGGCATTTCTGGCAATTTCCTTCTGGCAACCAGTGGACGCAAGGCCTCATCATTCTAGGTCCCAAGTTTGGAATTTTTTATATACATTTGGGTTAAGGGGTTCAATGTTTTGCCTCATGAGGTGCTCTCTCTCTCTCTCTCATTGGTCGTGGGGACTTGAATTCAGCCTGGGCGCTGTCCCTCAGCTCTTCAGCTCAAGGCTAGCACTCTACCACTTGAGCCATAGTGGCACTTCTGGCTTTTTCTGCTTATGTGGAGCTGAGGAATCAAAACCCAGGGCCTCATGCATGCAAATCAGGCACTCTACCACTGAGCCACCTTCCCAGCCCGAATTTTTATTTCTTAAGAGAAAAGCAGGTACTCTATAATCCTCCATTTTGCTGGGGGTCGGTCATGGGGCTTGAACTTGGGGGCCTGGATACTATTTCTGAGTTCTTTTGCTCAAGGCTAGTGTTCTCCCACTCTGAGCCAAAGCACCACTAATTGGACATATCTCACAGACTTTCTGCTGAGGTGGCTTTGAACCATGCTCCTCAGATCTCAGCCTGCAGAGTAGCTAGGATTACAAATGTGAGCCACCAGCGCCTGAATAGCTTCCTCCATTTTTGAGTTTGCCTTGTACTGGAAAAAAAGAACAGGAAATCAACCAAAAGGAATAGGGGAGCTTGTTCAGTGGAATGATGAATTCAAGAAAAGGGAGGAGAAAAATCAGCTGATTTGTATTTGTGAATAATTGCAGCGTAATGTCAGAATGACTTCAGTGCAGAGTACATTCAGTCTTGGCTTCTCCCCTTGACTCTTCCTATCTTCTTAGAACTGGAATGATGAATGGGACAATCTTATCAAGATGGCATCCACAGACACCCCAGTAACCCGGAGTGGACTTCAGTATAATTCACTAGAGGAGATTCACATATTTGTCCTTAGCAATATCCTCAGGAGACCCATCATTGTCATTTCAGGTGAGCTGTCCGCATGGATTTGGGGACTTTTTAGGTGTGATGCTTTGGCTCTAAGCACCGGGGGAAACATCCCACACTCTCAAATTATAGATAGTAGTGGCTGGGTAAAATTTCACACAAGTCATCTGAGGGCCTTGTTTCTCTCTTTCATTACACAGACAAAATGCTAAGAAGTTTGGAATCGGGTTCCAATTTTGCCCCTCTGAAAGTAGGTGGAATTTACCTGCCTCTCCACTGGCCTGCCCAGGAATGCTACAGATACCCCATCGTCCTCGGCTATGACAGCCAGCATTTCGTACCTCTGGTGACACTGAAGGACAGTGGGCCTGGTAAGAAGGCAGCATCAGTTCTCATTCGCATTCATAGCTCTGTGAGAGACTGAAATATCTGGGTCAGCACACACTCCCTCTTCCTCCCTCTCCCTCAGTTGAAAGTCTGATTTGAGATTTGAGTATATTACTTGCATTTGGATATATTGTTTGTTTAGTTAGTGCAGGTAGAGTATGCATTATCTGAAATGCTCGGAACCAGAAGTGTTTCAGATTTGAAGTTTTTCAGCATTATGTTTTTGGCTTTTTCTCTCGCAAATTTTCATGGATTTTACCAGTTGATCACCCTTAATCCAAGATGTTCCAGAATCTGCTCAGAAGTTACATATTTGGGGTTTTCATGTTAAAGTCCTCAGACCTGCAGCAACAATTCAGTACATCCTTCCCCATGTCTTTTTGTGATCAAGGGGGAGAAGTACTTTCAGCCTGCTAAGGTCAAGCAGGAGGTTTATGTATGTATATGGAGTCTCACTGCTGTTGTTACGAGATGACAAAGCAAGATGTTCAGGACCCTCTGTGCAGTGGGTGCTAGAGAAGGCAGATGCCTGTCAGGGTGCTGTTATTATAGTGGCTTCAGGGGGGTTGGTGCTATGCTAAGTACTTTTGATAACCTTATTTCACACTACCTCAAAAACCCTCTAGACTGAGATGTAGAGATTTTACAGATGAGTTGGTAGAAGTCAAGGGAGGTTAAAAAAAACCTGACAAATGTACACCTTGATGTAGGCAAAGTCAGGATTTGAATTCAGGTCTGTCCAACTTTGAAGCATGGGAAATTAACAGTTAAGCTCCCCTGCCTCATAGCTGGTTAATATTCTGTGAACTGCCTGGAAACAATGAATTTTATATTACAGTGGAATGCATTTTATTTCCCCATTTGGGTCCAATTGGTTACATAACACTATTCTACTCTCTAAATTATATGCTCTCCATATTTTCACAACTGAACCCTTATATATATATGGCCTTGAATATAATGTCATTTAGTAGAATGGTATTTTACTCACAGGCTTAATTTTCTTTCCCACAGAAATTCGAGCTATTCCACTTGTTAATAGAGATCGAGGGCGATTCGAAGACTTAAAAATTCACTTCTTGACTGATCCTGAAAATGAGATGAAGGAAAAGCTATTAAAGGAGTACTTGGTTGTGATAGAAATCCCAGTACAGGGCTGGGACCATGGCACAACACACATGATTAACACTGCCAAGTAAGTATTACCTTCTCCCTCTCCTCCTCCCTCTCCTCCCTCTCCCTCTCTCCCTCTCTCTCTTTCCCGCTTCCCCTCTCCCTCTCCCTTTCCCTCTCCCTCTCCCTCCCTCTCTCTCTCTCTCTCCTCCCTCTCCCTCTCCTTCTCCCTCTCCTTCTTCCTCTCCCTCTCTCCCTCTTCCTCTCCCTCTGTCCCTCTTCCTCCCTCTCTCTTTCCCTCTCCCCCTCTCCCTTTCCCTCTCCCTCTCTCTCTCCCTCCCCCTCTCTCTCTCCCTCTCTTCCCCCCCTCTTCTGTCTCTCTCTTTCTCTGTCAACTGGAACTGCCTTGCAAGCTGTTGCCTCCCCCACAACTCAACAATACTCTTAATTGCTGCCAGCTCCCTGGCAAATAGGAAACAAGATCAGCATCTTGGGCATTCAGAAAGGAATGATCGTTTCAGGCAATAGTTAACTTTAATGGAAACAAGGCATGTATCCATAGTGACTTCTTGGCTAGCTAGATGATGAGAGTCAAGAATTGTAGGTTTTAGAAATGTTTTACTCTCATGCCTATATTGTTGTAAATTGTCCTAATACATATTTAAAAGACTAGCAAGTGAAAACAACTGGAAACAAAGTCTTTTTTGGTTGGCTTCTTGGTAAGGACAGATACCCACAGGGTTGGCGATGTGCTTATGAGACCAACATGTGAAGAAGTGGGAGGGAGCCCCAGGAGACTTGCTGTCTCTAAACACTGGCTTTGTGTTAGAGAGAGGCCTGTCTTAGAGAATGTGGAATATTAGGTTATCAAAGTGGAGATTGGCCAGTTACAGAGTGAAACACAAATAGTTCTTATGGCTCTGTCTGCCTCTTATATCACTCCTGGCAGTGAACTTTTAGTAGATGACCTGATACAGATCTGAAATTACTAACAGTGAAATACAGAACAGAAAGCTTCAAAATAGTGCTAAAGACAGTCCCATATGAATGTCCCAAATAATGTCTTGCTAGAAATTTGATTTCTGAGAATGTAAAAAGTAAAAGTGATTTTAAAAAGAAACAATAGGGTTGGGAAGGTGGCTCAGTGGTAGAGTGCTTGCCTTGCATGCAGAAGGCCCTGGGTTTGATTTCTCAGCACCATATAAGCAGAAAAAGCCAGAAGTGGCTCAAGTGGTAGAGCGCTAGCCTTGAGCTGAAGAGCTGAGGGACAGTGCCCAGGCCCAGAGTTCAAGCCCACGACTGACAAAAAAATAAAACAAAAAACCACAAAACAATAGATTGATGAGACACAGAAGCAATCTCTATAGAGGATCTCTCTCATTTTCTTTTTGTCATTTTGTATGTGGGCACATGTTACTACTGGGGCTTGAATTCAGGGTCTTATGCTCTTGCTTAGCTTTTTCACTCAAGGCTAGCACTCTACCACCTGAGCTACACTACCACTTCTTGTTTTTTTCTAGTTAATTGCAAATCACGGACTTTTCTGTCCCAGCTGGCTTTGAACCATGATCCTCAGATCTTAGCCTTCTGGGTAGCTAGAATTACAGGCATGAGCCCTCAGCACTGGCTTTTATTTCTCCCCACCTCCCCCCAGTACTAGGAATCAAATCCATAGCTTCCCTGTTCCTCTAACCTCTCCCCTCCAAAATCCCTTTCTTTAGAATTATCTGTAACCAGAAGTGAGCAGTGTGTGTGTGTAGGAAGCATGAGGCCTTGAATACCTGCTCCCCCACCAAAAATAACTTACTTACATGTGTATATACCAAGATTGATTATATAAAACTGTGATTGTACAAGGAAAGAAGCCTTCTTAGGAGAGGAACCTTATATTTGAGTAGAGAACCTGTGATGAGTGTTTGGAACCTTGTTATGCCATAGGCCTCATTTTAGTGATTTCAATTAAGAACTGATGCCTAGCCTGACATTCTGAAAGTTTGTTCTGGGAACTAATGAGATCAAGTTATGTGTGCCATGTGGTGTTGCTCATATATTGTCCTGTTTGCTCTTCAGGTTGGATGAAGCTAACTTGCCCAAAGAAATAAATCTGGTGGATGATTACTTTGGACTTGTCCAGCACGAGTACAAGAAATGGCAGGAAAACCAGGAGCAGGGCCGGAGAGGGGCACATGCGCAGAACCCTCTGGCACCTACCACACCCCAGCTTTCCCTGATGGATATAAAATGTGAAACTCCCAACTGTCCTTTCTTCATGTCTGTGAACACCCAGCCTTTGTGTCACGAATGCTCAGAGCGGCGCCTGAAGAACCAAAATAGACTCCCAAAGCTGAACCCCAAGCCTGGCCCTGAAGAGCTCCCTGGCCTGGCACTTGGGGCATCTCGAGGGGAGGTGTATGACCCCTCGGCCTGGAGCCCCAAGGAGCCATCTGGGGGGCCTCATTCAGCCCCACCAACAGCACCCAGCCTTTTCCTGTTCAGCGAGACCACCGCCATGAAGTGCAGGAGCCCTGGCTGCCCTTTCACACTGAACGTGCTACACAATGGATTTTGCGAGCGCTGCCACAATGCCCGACAGCTAAACGCCAGCCACACCACAGACCCCACAAGGCATTTAGATCCTGGGAAGTGTCGAACCTGCCTCCAGGATGTCACCAGGACGTTTAATGGGATCTGCAGTACTTGCTTCAAAAGGACTACGACGGAGCCCTCTCCCAGCCTCACCTCCAGCATCCCTTCTTCCTGTCACCAGCGCTCCAAGTCCGACCCCTCTCAGCTCATCCAGAGTCTCAACCCACACTCCTGCCACCGAGCTGGAAGTGAGGCCCCCTCCCCTTGCCTCTCCCAGGCAGCCCGGACTCCAGGGGACAGACCGGGAACCAGCAAGTGCAGGAAAACTGGCTGCATGTATTTTGGGACTCCAGAAAACCAGGGCTTTTGCACACTGTGTTTCATCGAGTACAGAGAAAACAAACGTGAGTAGTAAAGGGCTGTGATGGATTTCTCAATGTAGTTGCTATGGTCTAGAAGGGGGCAGGTCCCTGAGCTTCAAGGAAAGACACCTGTCTGAGCAGTGGGATAGAATGATCAGATTGCAATGTGCTTTCCCATCTGTGTGCACTTGGGGACAGTCTTGGAACCTCTGCCAGCCACGCCTGCAAACACTGGGCACTATAATCACAGCAGCTTAGATTATCACATGCTGCCCAGCACCAGTGGCTCATGATTGTAATAATCCTAGCTACTCAGGAGGCTGAGATCTAAGGATCACAATTCAAAGTCTGTCCAGGCAGGAAAACCTGTGAGATTCTTTATCTCCAATTAACCATCAAAAAGCCAAAAGTAGAGCTGTGTGTGACTCAAGTGGTAGAGTGCTAGTCTTAAACAAAACATCTAAGGGACAGCTCATAGGCATTGGATTCACACCCAGGACCCAGTGTACAAAAGAAATGAATAAATAAGTGATTATCAGGAGCCGAAGCCAAAAAGTAGCCTGTAAATAGAATTCATAGGATTGGTTTTCATAATGCATCCAGTGCCTAGCAATTTATTTGATAAAGTTAATTAAGCTAGACATTGGCAGTTGCAGTGGAATAGAGAAACTCCAAGTGGGAGCAGTAGTAGCAGGAGAGAGGCAAGTGTCTGAGCACAAGGAAATCACTTGTGCTTTGGAAGATGGATGAGTACTTAGTGTATGCCAATTGTTCTGTCTCTTGACTTTCTACTACTCCATGTTCAAATCAACAGCTCTGCAAAGCCAAGGATGTTTCTGTAATATTATTCCTCTGCTGACTTTTTAGCCTGGGCTTGAATACATTGTTCAAGGATGTCCTAATCTATACTGGGAAGCTTTTTTCTTCTCTACTGTCAGTGTGTCTTTGTCTGCATGGTGATACTGACATGGTACTGAGTAACATCACCTCTCTTGTAGATTTTGTTGCTGCCTCTGGGAAATCTGGCTCCACTACCTCCAGGTTCCAGAACTCAGTTCCATGTCTGGGGAGAGAATGTGGCACCCTTGGAAGCACCCTGTTTGAAGGCTACTGTCAGAAGTGTTTCATTGAAGCTCAGAACCAGAGATTTCATGAAGCTAAAAGAACTGAAGAACAACTGGTAAGGGGTTTTGAGAGGCCTCTCGCTCTGTGTGTCAGGCTTTCCCCCCTGCCAGGTCTTCTGGCAAAGGACTGCTTGGAAAGGTTGCTGAAGAACCTGGGTAAAACATCCCGGGTGCAGTGCATCTGTGACTCCCACTGCAAATGCCAGTGGCAGCTCACGCGACCTGAATGTGCTTTAGAATTCATTTGAAAAGCCACTGAAACCAGCTCTTCAAGCACCCAGAAAGGCCACTGGTGGTCAGGGTCATCTCTGATTTTCAGTAGAAGCACAGATATCTACAAAGTAGATTGTGTGTGTATGTGTATGTGTGCGCATGTACGCACACACCTGTCCTGGGCTTGAACTCAGGGCCTAGGCACTGTCCCTGAGCCTTTGTGCTCAAGGCTAGTGCTCTACCACAACTCCACTTGTAGCCTTCTTAGTGTTCAATTGGAGATAAGAGTCTTGTGGACTTTTCTGCCTGAGCTGGCTTCCAACCCATATCCTCAGATCTCAGCTTCCTGAGTAGCTAAGGATTACAGTTGTGAGCCACTGGCACCTGGCCCAAAGTAGACTTTTAAATAATCCTTTGTCATGAGCAGAGAGGAGACAGAACATTCTAGAACATTCTACATGCTTATCAGAAAAGCTACTCTTGGCTATCAGTGTGTTGAGTACAGAGGGGCAGGGAAAGCTATCTCAATAAGAGACTGATTATTAATCTGAATGAAAGGACCCAGTGTTCAGGCCTCCACAGGGGGAGTAGTGGCTCCCCTCAGCCTCCCTGGGACCAGTCCCAGCTGGGTCTGGGAGAGATATGGGTGGGGAACCACAGCTTATCAACAGCAAATACATAGTGCACTCTTCCTGCCACAGGCAGAGAACCCCTTTGTCAAGTCCCCACAGTCAAGAAAGATCTCCCTGTGGCCCCTGGATAGTATGATAGCACTTCTGTGCTTTCCTGCCCAGTGTGACAACGTATCTATCTATTCTTTCCCTCAGAGATCAAGCCAGCGCAGCCCTCGAACCACACAGGGTGCATCAAGGCCCAAGTGCATGCGGGCATCCTGCAAAAATATCTTGGCTTGCCGCAGTGAGGAACTCTGCATGGAATGCCAGCACCTCAGCCAGAGGGTAGGCCTTGCACCCCACCGGGTTGAGCCTGCTCCTGAAGAGACCCCCAAACAGCTCTGCCGGGCCCCTGCCTGCGATCATTTCGGCAATGCCAAATGTCATGGCTACTGTAACGAGTGCTTTCAGTTCAAGCAGATGTATGGCTAAGCAGAAATGGGTGGGCCGGCCCTGTCTAGAGGGGCCTCGAGCTGCCAGCCAGCGTGGTGCTACACTCCAAACCCCTGGATGCCACAGCAGGTGGAAGCCCCGGGCACAGAGGTCTGGAGGGTGTCTTTGGGCAGGGAAGGGCAGATGAGCTCTTCATTCATGCTGCCTGTGATGCTCAGGTTTGGTAACTGGCAATCTCCTCAAGTGGTTTTAGAGCAAAGCCTTGTGACTGGCAGTGCATGGTGTTAGTTCCAGCCCAGAATTGCTCTCTTAAAAAGCAAAGGGCTGGGAATGTCTTTGGACTTGGAATGTGTGCTGGGACAGGGAGAGGCCCCTGAACGTCTCCTGCCAGGGCTGTTTGATCATGTTCACAAGAAACAGGAAGGACATAGACAGGCAGGTGGGGGCCAGGGAGCCATCCCGCTGCCAGCCATTCGCCTCTTTGACAGTCCTCCAAGGCCTTTGCCTGAAGTTCATGGGAGCTCAGGGAAAACGGACATATCTCAAGTATGTCTGTGGTCAGTGGTTTTTTCCCACCGTGCCTGGGCTGTGATTGAGGCTGCTGAGACTGAACTTGAACTTGTACATGTGGGGAGAGAAACAAGCTGCTCATGACAGTACACACTTTTCACAGAGTATGTTTGTGAGAAGACAGGTATCATTGGGTTCTTACTGTCTTCACATCTAAAGAGCTTAGCCTGAACCAAAGTGTGTACTTAAATAATATACCCCTTATATGATATATGAGGGATTTTTTAACAATGACAAAATGCTGGCCTAGAGGTACAAGTAAGAAGTATAAGTAATGATGACCTGTTTTCTGGTTGTTGTTGGGCATCCTCTGTGCACAGCTTATTACATGAACTCGTCGGGCTCCCTTCTGAAAGGGAACCCTTGAGTCATCTGGTTGTTAATTCACTTTATTTATTACAAATGTCCAATTTATTTAAATAAAGATATTTCTTCTGCTCTGGGGAGCATGCTGCAGTGTGTTTGTAGGATAACCTAGTTGCTTTTGGTTATGTTCTGGAACCTGGCAAGCTCACAACCACAATGGGAGAGGCATGTCATTAGATGTGCTTGCTTCTTGCCACCCTAGGAAAGACAGAATTGCTTCCAGGCTAAATTGAATCTCATGCTTCATCCTATGCAACTCCAGCTGCACCACAAAACACTTCTGTCCATGCTGTTGTATATCCTACCTCCTTGGAGAAGGATAGAGAAAGGTCATGGGCCAGATTGGGGAGGGCCACAGGGTAACTCGGCCTTCCGTGATGCCTTCACTTGCTGTCTGTGTTAATGCTCTGGCCTGGGGTGCTGAGTGAGGGTGGGGAGACCTTGTGTCTAGTGATACCCCAGCCTTGGGACATCAAAACCCTGTCATGGTGAAGATGAAGACATTTCTTCCTGTTGGCCTGAAGTTTCTCTGCTTTGTGTTAATGTCATTTGAGCCCTAGAGGAAAAGGAGGGAAATGCATTTCCCCAGTGGTTAAATGCTACCATTTGAGGGATCTAAATGCAGGACCTGAAACCATTTGTGATCCATAACTCTACATAGTCCTTTTTTTTTTCCTTTTTCTGATGTGTCTTTCTCATAGTATTTCAAAGATGTCAAACAAATGCCAGTGTTTTCATCTAGTTCTTTCAAAGTCGGTAACTTAATATTTTGTTATCTATCAATATTTTTCATTCTTAATGTGAAGAAATAGAATTATTTATACTTATAGAAAAAAATATTTGAAATTTGCACTCGCAGAATGCTATCTACTTTTTGGATTCCTTCAAGTTGTCCTAAAGAAATGTAACTTTACACAAAAGGCCATATAAAAAAATAAATTATTTAAGAGCATATGTCGATGTGTTCCATTGATGACTGCTGGAAGAAGATAGGCTTGAGCCCACAGGCTGCTTCCTACGCCACTGTGTGTGCTAAGCCAGCAGACCTCTCGCATGGAGACTGAGGGAATGCTGAAAATGATAATGCACAAGAGTGAGGCTGGGCTCCCACATCAGCTTTCTGTATTCTCAGTGGGGACATAGTGTGGGGGTCCTTACTCTCTAGATCTCTCTGAAGTAGAAAAAGAACAAGAAAGGAGGCGGGAGGGAGGCAAGGAAGAGAGATTGTAGAGGAAGAAGACTGGTGTAAGATTTCCTGGATCTGAGGGGAGAAAAGAATTGGCCAGGCTGTGATGGCCACCAGAACTAGGAAGTTCTAACCTTATTGTCTGAAAGGAGGGGAGCGGGGAGGGATAGTTTTTGTTCTGTTCAATTCTGCTCTCCTCTTACACCATGACACCAGAACAAATCTCTGTGATCCCAAGATGTATGAAAAATTTCTCCTCATCAGCAAGCAAATACAGCTTGTATTGTGGATAATACCAGCCAGCTGTGTGCTTTCGTTCCATTCCGACACTCTTGGACAGGAGATGCTATTGGACTCCACAGGTTGAGGCCTCTGTTCCCAAGACTGGCTTCCCCAAACACTCTAGACACAAGTTTCAAACCCCTGGTTACTTTTCCCTATGTTCCCCAAGAACCAGATGTAATAGGGGTTTCTATAACCCCTTCCTCGGGTTCAATTACTTTTGCTTGAGAGGCTCATAGGACTGAGGAAATGCTTTTGTTGATTTACTCTAAAGGATGTTACAAAGGATATAAATAAAGGCATGCAAACAGCAAGGTGTCAGAGAAGGAACATGGAGCTTCTGTATCTTCTCTGGACACAGCACCCACTAGGACCTGCTGTGCATCTAGCTACCTACCTGCAATTGGAACCTTGTTCTGTAGGATTTTAGGGACTTCAGGGCACAGATATGATTGTAGCATATGGACAGTCATGTAGACCTATGAGTGGAAATAAAGGATCTATCTAATTCCAAAAGATTTGGTCTTAGTCTTTCTGTACAGTATTCCTTTCTCACAAGCATAGTGCAAGACATCTTTCTAAAAGTGGGTCTTTTGATCTATTAGCAGACAAGGTAGGTCAGAGAACTTTATGGCCAGACAGAAGGAGGGAGATATTCTTAGTTTCTATGGATTGCTTTGGGAAAGAAATTCTAGTTTTCTTGGCCTGTTTGGGGCAGAAGTTATAAGCCAGAAACTCTTTTCATGCTATCGGTTTGTTAGAGCAATTCTACAGTTGTTCTGTAGACTATATATTTTCTAGATTTGACTCATTGCTTCCCTATGCAGCCACCAAAGTTGTTCTTCTATGTTAGCATCTGGCTTAATGATGGTTCTGTGTATCCAGGTGTACCCCATCCAGCCTATCTAATATATATGAATACCTTCGCAGAAGAATCACTAAATCTCATAATGGACCATCTCCCTTCTCCATTATGCCATCTCTCACCAGGCACACAAAAGTCCAATTCTTCAATCGGTATGATGAACACAAACATTTGACCATAAGTCATCAGGAATTCTAAAATGGGAAGTGACTTATAATTAGCAAATTACCTCTGACTCAGAATAATGGCTCACAGACAGGGGCACTGAATGGGTATAGAGGGCACTGGAGAGCAGGGCACTATGAGAGAGGGCTTCCTTCTAGAGTGGGTGGACCACGAGGGCCTGTTGGCTCATGGTTTCATGTTGGGTGTGTACAATATTTTCCTTTCTCAAATTGGCCTAGGGCTTTCTTGAGAGTTTTAAAAGAACTGACTTTCCAAAGGGACGCCCAGACTCAGCATCAGCAGGCTGATAACAAAAGTTTAGGAAGAGCTGGTTTTGCTCTTTCCGGGAGTTTGATCCCACTGCATACCACCCAGGGGTGATGCTCCTGGTGACAGCCAAAGTGGAACTCGTGCTGCTGTTTGTCTGTTATTTCCATGCTTAGTCCAGTGCAATCTTCTTCCTAGCCACCTCTAGAGTTTCTCCCCCAGCTTCTGTAAAGTAGATCTCCAGAACATCTCTCAAATCCATCCTTGCTTTGTCTTTCCAGCCCCAGCTTGGGCCTGAGAGCTTCTTTCTGTCTTCTTTTTTGTTGTTGTCATTGGTCATGGGCCTGAACTCTAGGCCTGGGAACTGTCCCTGAGCTCTTCAGCTCAAGGCTAGTGCTCTACCACTTGAGCCACAGCGCCACTTCTGGCTTTTTCTGCTTATGTGGTGCTGAGGAATCAAACCCAGGGCCTCATGCATGCAAGGCAAGTGCTCTACCACTGAGCCACCTTCCCAGCTCCTCTTTCTGGCTTCTTGATTCTGCCACTCTTTGCTGCCTCTCCATCACCTTATTTTTATATAGACCTGGCCAGGCCTTTTCCTGACTAAGACACCTACTGGCATGCTGTTGTACCCAAAATCCAAAGCAAGGTGAGGGATAGCCACAAGAAAATGGATCTCTGAGCTTTTAATCTTAAAAAAGTATGATTAAAAATAATTAGGAGGCTGAGATCTGAGGATCATGGTTCAAAGCCAGCCCAGTTAGGAAAGTCTGTGAGATACTTATCTCCAATGACCACCAGAAAACCAGAAGTGGCACTGTAGCTCAAGAGGTGGAGTGCTCGCCTTGAGATGAAGAGCTCAGGGACAGCACCAGGCCCAGAGTTTAAACCCCATGACTAACAAAAATAAATAAATAAATAACCTTCTTCTAATATCTGATCTGCAAATGAACTGGTATCTTCCCTTTGTTTATCTCCGAACGGTTAGAAGCAACTGGGTGAGCAGATCAACTTGTGACCATTACAATTCTGTTTACATACTTAAACTTGGAATACAAATTTCAAGTTGTAAAGTGTAGATGAAGAATTTTAAAACATTTTGAACCTTTTTGTGGGAATATTCCTCCTTCCCTCCCTTTCTTCCCTCCTCATTTCCTCCCAGGATCTTGTTACATAGCCCAGGCTAGTCTGAAATTTACAATGCTCCTGCCTCAGCCTCCGGAATGCTGAGTGGTATGCACCACGACTCTCTAAGCTCAGTGATGCTACACAGACATCCTCATGTTTGGCCTCATGTTTGGACATTAGCTTCTTTTGGTTTTGTTTTTCTTTTTTCTTTTACATTCTGATGACTCTAACCTGCTGCCAGGATTCAGAATCCCTAATCGCCAAAAGAATACCGCTTTTACAAGAAGCAGTCCTCCTTCTGCAAGTGGCCAGCTTGTTGACTGCACTTGTACCAGATGCCATCCATTTCCATCATGACTCCACTTGGCATAAAAATCAGTGTCCCAGAGAGATACATGCTGCTGGGCTGGGATGTAGATCTGTGGCAAAGTGCTTGCCTACCAAGTGCAACATCCAGGGTTCAATTCCCATTACCAAAAAAGAAAGAAAGAGAGCTTGTTTGGAGGTTCTAGCAGGGGAGCGCAGCTACTCGTATACCCTTGACCGAAGACTGGTCCTCCTCTATCGGGGATGGTCGTCCTCTTCGACCGAGCACGCAGCTTCGGGAGGGACACACATGGAGCGGTGAGGGAGGACGGGGACACCCGCCTAGCCAGCCAGATCAGCCGAATAAACCCTGGCGATCAATGGGGTGACAGATGTCGCAGCCAGATCGCCCTCACATCCAAGAAACAAAGAATAAAAGGAAGAGAAAAGAGATAAATGCTGCTGTGGTTTCTTTTATTATGTGTTGTTGTTTTGTCATTTGTGGAGCTTAAACTCAGGGCATGGGCTCTGTCCCTCCAATTTTTTTGCTCAGGCCTAGCACTCTATTACTTTGAACCACAGTTCCACTCCTAGTTTTTGAGCGGCTAATTGGAGATAAGAGTCTCGTGGGGACTTTTCTGTCTCAGCTGGCTTTGAACCATTTTTCTATCTGGGCTGTCTTTAAACCATGATCCTTAGATCTCAGCCTCCTGAGTAGCTAGGATTACAGGTGTGAGCCACTGGTGCTCAGCTTTGCTGCTGTGTTAATGAGAACTCTTAATTACCAAAGAGGTACAAATATTTCCCCCTTAGCGAAACATTCTTATTATCAGGTGTCTGGAATCAGACGAAGGGGAGTTGTTAGTGCAAATTCCATGTAACTGGCACACC